CTCACATTGACTAATGTTAATGTTCATGAGTCCACCATCAGGAGAACACTGAACAACAATGGTGTGCATGGCAGGGTTGAAGGAGAAACTACTGCTCTCCAAAAAGAACATTGCTGCTCGTCTGTAGTTTGCTAAAGATCACGTGGACAAGCCAGAAGTTTATTGGAAGAATGTTTTGTGGACGGATGAGATCAAAATAGAACTTTTTGGTTTAAATGAAAAGTGTTATATTTGGAGAAAGTAAAACTCTGCATTCCTGCATCCCATTCCTAGATGGGCTGAGACGAGGTAGAGGTAGGGCAGCCGACCTGGTAACAGAAAGTCGCGGTTCGACTTCCCGCCATGCCCACATGTTGTGGTGTCTCTGAGCAAGACATCTAATCCCTATTTGCTCCCCAGGCAGCTTATATAGCTGCCCACTGCTCCACCTGGATGTATCGCATGGGTGATGGGTTAAATGCAGAGAACTAATTTCACCATTGTATGTTCCCATACAATGGTGACAACACATAGCACTTTACTTACTTTATAAGAACCTTATCCCATCTGTGAAACATGGTGGTGGTAGTATTATGGTTTGGGCCTGTTTTGCAGCATCTGGGCCAGGCTGGTGTGCCATCATTGATGGAACAATGAATTCTGAATTATATCAGAGAATTCTAAAAGAAAATATCAGGACATCTGTCCATGAACTGAATCTCAAGAGAAGGTGGTTCATGCATCAAGACAATGACACAGTTGTGTTCAGTTCATGTTGTGGAATGGCCAAGTCAAAGTTCTGACATTAATCCAATCCAGATGTTGTGGAAGGACCTGGAGCGAGCGGTTAATGTGAGGAAACCACCAACATCCCAGAGTTGAAGCTGTTCTGTACGAAGGAATGGGATAAAATTCCTCCAAGCCGATGTGCAGGACTGATCAACAGTGAAACATTTAGTTTCAGTTATTACTGTGTGTGTGTGTGTGTGTGTGTGTGTGTGGGGGGGGGGGGGGGGGGGTCACACCAGATACTGAAAGCAAAGGTTCACATACTTATGCCACTCACAAATATGTAATATTGGATCATTTTCCTCAATAAATAAATGACCAAGTATAATATTTTTGTCTCATTTGTTTAACTGAGTTCTCTTCATCTACTTTTAGGACTTGTGTGAAAATCTGATGATGTTTTAGGTCATATTTATGCAGAAATATAGAAAATTATAAAGAGTTCACAAACTTTCAAGCACCACCACTGTACCTAGAAATGTTTTGACCATTGGTTTATGAATGTCTGTGTCCCCTAGTGATATGGCATGTGTATTTAAAAAAAAAATTTTTTATGTGTGTGTGTGTTTTGTCAGAAAATGTTGACAATGAAAAAAAAAAACTGTTTGTTCCCCTGTCAAGTCTAAAGTCTAGAAATTTGCATTTCCAGTCATTTTTGCCCACAGCTGTAAACCATTTGTTTCTCTGCAGGTTCAAGAATTTATAGCATTTTTTTTCTTTTTTCTTGCTGTGTGTTTGTCTTTGAAACAGCTATTTGGATCTTTAGTCATTCAGTTTAATAACAGCCCGAGATGACTCATGGACCAGGATAACTTTTTGTCTTATGTGTCATTCAGTGCATGAAAACAACTCAAATCAGAGCACCACTGTGCAAACGGTGCGTTGTGGTTCAGAATCAAAACCACAGAAACACAGAGGAACACAACAACAAGAAGCTAATATAAATACTCTGCTCATAAGTTTGGTTCTCCCTAATGAACAGTAGATGTTATCCTAAACCTTCAAGAAGTCCACAGGCACTGTTCCCCGATTGCATCAACATGTTGTTATAATGTATGAAGCATAAACCAGTTATCAAGCCTGCAGCGTAAAAACTTATGATTGTTAGGGAGGAAGAATAATAATACACAGTTAAATGCATCCAAGTATATTCATTTAAACATTAAAATATCTGGTGATGCAATACAATATTTTTAACTGAATATACAAGAATGCTTTCCCCAGTTTTAACGTCATGTCATGGGATAATTGTAGTAAAGACGGTACATCAAACATAACAAGACAGTGGTTGTTGTGACAGTGAATGAGTTTTGAAGAAGAAAATGAATCCTTACATTTGTAAAGGCTTTGACAAGTACTAACCATTCAAAGTGTGCCCCAGAAATAATTTTATTTTGAATGGGTTGGAAAGCATTGCACTTTTTTCTGTTTCATATCACAAAAAAGATGTGGGCATCCTACCCCCTAGTGGGAAAAGCTGCAAAGTGAGGAGGGGAAGTGAGTTTTAGCTTTGGTTTTCAATTAAAACAAAAAAGTGGAAATGGCAAAACCATGTCAATTGCTTAAAAACAAAAGTATAAAAATAATGAATTCAAAAACAAAGAATTACTTGACGAAATGCATATTGTCCATTACTTTTAATACCACACTTTTAAACCAAGTCTCCTTTGTTAAGAAATGATGGAGCTGTTTTTGCTCAAACCTCTGAAATAATGTCTTGCAAAGTCCAACACAATATTTAGAGATCTTACTCAATGTATTAGTACTTCAGGACGACTTTCAGTTACTACAACATAACATTTTAGCTCAGTATCTTCAAATTCAACTGTGCTTAGTGCTGTCGTTTCTAAACTGGGCCTGAGGCCCGGCCTGGCCAGATCGAGCCCAAAACAAAATTTGGGCCGGGCCAAAATAATGTGATGGATGGGCGGGTCGGGTCGGTAATGGGCTTTTGATTGTGTCAGAGGATGCGAACAGCTGACGATCCAATTTGGATCACCATCCACGCGCAGCCGGTTGAAAAAGGTAAAAAAATAAATAAAAAAAGAAGAAAAAGTTCAGTTAAGCTTCAGCTGGACCACTGCCAGCGATCCATCCAAGCCCAACTGGACAAGGATGCTCGCGGCCGAGCCTGACCGGTTGAAAGAGGTAGAAAAAGGGTCTAAATGGATCACTGCCAGCGACTCACCTGAAGCTTAACAGGACCTTTTTCGCTCTATCTGCTTCCGCTGGGGTCGATCCTAAGAAAACACGGTATTCCATTCCATTGCTACGCCGATGACTGTCAGATCTACCTGCCACAGAAATCAGCCAGTGCTTGTTCCGTCCACCCTCTCCTCAAATGTCTGGACGACATTAAGACATGGATGGCTTCAAATTTTCTAAGTTTTAACGACCAGAAGACTGAAGTCATTGTCTTTAGCCCTAGCTCAGCTGCCGCCTCTTATCCTGTGAACCTGGACTCCCTTCAGCCTTATCTGAAGCACTCTGTTAAAAACCTTGGAGTGGTTTTTGACTGGGATTTTAAGTTCGACAAACAGATCAGTTCGGTTCTGCAGAGAAGCTTCTTCCAACTGCGGCAGGTAGCTAAGCTCAAGCCAGTGCTGTGTAGACCCGACCTTGAGACACTAGTCCATGCATTCATCACAACCCGCCTGGACTATTGTAATTCACTGTATGCTGGGGTCAGCCAGGTCTCTATCTCACGGCTACAGCTCGTCCAGAATGCTGCAGCTCGGCTTTTAACCGGTACACCGAGGTATGAGCACATCACACCAGTTCTGTCCTCCCTGCACTGGCTTCCTGTGAGAACTAGGATTGATTTCAAAATTCTCCTCCTGACCTATAAGTGCCTAAATGGCCTCGCACCCATCTACCTCTCTGAGCTACTGGAACCATATGTTCCCTCTCGGGCTCTGAGATCATTCGATCAGCTGCTTTTGGTTGTTCCAAAAACACGACTGAAGCTCCGAGGAGATCGGGCGTTTTCAGTCATGGGTCCCAAACTATGGAACAACCTACCCCCCAACATTAGGCATGCCACCTCCCTTCCTGTGTTCAAATCCCTGCTAAAAACATATCTGTTCTCTCTGGCGTTTCATACTGTGTGAGTTGATTTAGTATATCTTGTTCCATGTCTTTATTTTAATGCTGTTGTTTTAATTTTTTAAGGTATATTCTTACTGCTTTTTATTTCTTAGTGTTACCCTTAGTGTTAAGCACTTTGATAACAGTCTATCTGTTTTAAATTGTGCTCTATAAATAAATATGACTTGACTTGACTTGACTCAGCCGCTGCGTCAGTTGACAATCTGATCCTGCAATCTGGATTATTAGCAGCACGCGTCCGCCGACTGTTAATAACTATAATATAATAACTATAATAGGCCGCTGTATCTTGTTAATAAACAAGAAATCTTATATCGTCCTTTCTTTGAAATAAATTTTTAAACCATGTCAAACTGACAAATGCAGTAAAAGCTTAATAAAAAAAAAAAAGTATTTTTTTCAGGTTTGGGCCTGTAATCACAGTTAATTGGCCAGTTTTGAGTTGGGCTCAGAAAAAATGATATGGGTTCGGTCTGGGCCGGATTTTTTTAGGCCCGAATGCAATTCTAACTGTGCTGTAGCCAATTTTTGTGTTTATAACTGTGGCAGCCATCTTGAACTGCAATTATCGGTACTCCAAAAATGTTTTCGTTGTAGATGCACATCTACTGATCACTTTCCAAGAGTTTCAATAAAATTCATCAAGTAATGAGCCATTTTTCCTAACAGACAGAAAGGTTTGACATGAATGGGTAATGTCAAAACTTGGACTGAAGATGTCATGCAGCATGCAGCGAACAGGATATTTGTTGGAGATGACTCTCCACTCCCACCACACCAAACATCAGCTCAAAATCTCTTAAATTGACTGAGTGATCACAGTTTTAGTGTTAAGCTGTGGCGGCCATATTGAATCTGACGCTAAACGGTTATCACTTGCAGAAGTACATCCAATATTTTCTTTTTCAGAGTTTCATTTAATTTGTTCGTTGGGAAATAAGACATTTTGCTTACAGACTAATGCATGACCACACAGGCAAAAACAATTATGTATCCTACTTTGTCAAATCTGTTTTCATAAGCACACTGAAAGTATTCTGTGATGAACTTCATCTTTCTAACTAAACTCAAACCTGTATCATTTATTTGGTTGGTTAACCCTCTTTTCGTTTCTTCAACCAAAGGCAGCCATCATGCTTTCACTGGACGAGCCGTTGGACTTGAAACTACCCACTGGACGAGCACGAGGCTCTGTGATACTGGGAAAGAGGTCTTTTCCCTCCTTCGCATGCGCCCCTCTCAACGCCTCGCGCCCTCGGCTGCAGTGTACACCATTTCCCTCACCTCCCTCCTCACCAGGTAAACCAGGAAAACCGAAGTACAGCTGAAAATCCAACAATCTCTAGATTATTTATGCCCTCAGACAGACATATTGTCAGATTTGAGTGTTGCTCGTTAGAAAAACGGAGCTCGACAGCGACACGAAATAATCCCACATTAGTTTCCCTAAAGGAATGCACATCACTCGCTGCCTTTCACACTAACGTGGTCATCTGTGTTAGAGATGTGACAGAAGATGTGGTCATTTTGGTCATCAATAATGTTCTGCACAGTCTCATGGAATACTGTGAAAAGTCACTCTCAGAGCATGTGTTATGTATGACTCAGCGACAACCACACCAAATTTTAGCTCAACGTCTGTAAAATGGACTGAGTTGTGTTAATTCTTTTGTTGGCTGATAATGATTAGCTGTGGTGGCCATTTTGAATTAGACTGACACCAAAGACAATCAGTTGTGTGTCCAGATGTGAGATTAAAATCTGTTCCCTGGTTGATATTTTGCTAACATAAAGACAGGCAAACACACACACTCCTGTAGGCAGTTGCATGATCTCCTGCCTTGCATGGCTGCAGGTATGAGTCTCAGTGGACCTGAATATTTTTCATTTTATTCTCCAATCCAAGATTCCCAGTTCTCTCAGGAGCGACTCGGGTCCTGCTTCACTCCTCCAGCCATGGACCTCAGCCTGTCACCTCCCTCTCACCATGCCCCCTCCCTCTCACCATCGCCTTCATCCCCGTCTTCTCCCTGTCCTTCCTCACCCCTGGACTCCCCTCAGGACAGCAGCAGCAGCAGCAGCAGCAGCCCTCAGCCACATCTCTTCTCTCGGGTGAGTGAAGCAGAGCAACACACGCTGCTTTTCTAAACGGCACAAACAAAAACGAACAAACCAAAGGTCAGGATTAAGCTCCGAACAGCTGATCTGCCAGCACTGAACATAAATTAGACACAAAAGTAGATTCCATTCATCTTGATTTTTGTCCTAGTTACTTTTAAACTGTCTTTTTGATTTTATGATTTTACTTTTAACTTTTTAATCTCTTGGAATCCAATTACTAATTCCAAATTTCTTGTCTTTTATAACCTCCTAAAGCAGTGGTTCTCAAACTATAGGGTTCCCGGACCCCTGGGGGTCCTCCCAAGCCTCGACAAAAATCACAGACAAGATGAGCACCCCGCCATTGGAAGTTATCTAGTGGAAACACTGTTATTCTATCTATCTATCTATCTATCTATCTATCTATCTATCTATCTATCTTACATACATACATATATTTTTTTACACGCACAAAGATGTTGAACAACCCATTAAAATACACTAAAATGCAGAAATCACATCTACTTTACTCAAAATTTTCTGGTGGAGGACCCCCCCCCCCCCCCCCATTTGCGTTCCAGCATGGATCATTTTACAAATGAAGCCCTGTTACTTGGTCTGACTACTGCTGTTTTGATTCTGTGCCATTTTATGTGAAGAGTTTTCTGTAATAATATGACGAAGTGACAATACATTTACTATAATCATTAAGTGAATAGGTCAAGTTTTAAAGTGTTTTTTTGATTCTGTTAATTTTCTCAAAACTGTAATTTTTGGAAGTTGAAATTAAAAATGCTGTTAATTGAGCATGTCTTGAATGAAAAACACCCCATGTTTAAACGTATAAAAATTGTACTAACACTATTAAAGAACAAGTCTTAAGTATTTATGCTACTCAGATAGTTCCATTGCGTTAAAGAGACATATTGAAGAAAATTATTTAATAAACATGAAGGTTATGAGGGAGTCCCTGAAACTTTTTCTCCCTGAACCCAAAACGTTTGAAACCCCTGCCCTAAAGAGTCTAAATTAAAGTGCAGCGGGGGTCGGCTTTTGTTGTGGAAGCCCACTAACTCTGGAACAACTTGCCACTTGTAATTCACTCCAGAGTCTATCCAGTCTTATAAAACCCACCTGAAAACTCACTTTTTAAATTTTGTTGTAATTACAGTTCAGTTTCGATCACATCAGATCTTGCATGTTGCGTTGTTACTTTGTTTTAGTACATTTTTAGCCAGTTTTATGTGATTTAATTGTATTATTTCAATTCATTTTCCTGTTTTTTTTTTACTAACTTGTAACTACTTTGTTCAACCTTGTTGTTTCTAAATGTCCTTAAACTGTTTGTGTTTTTCCATAAAATCTGAAAAGATTAAATTGCACTTTTTAAAATTCATTTTTCATTAACAACAAGGATAAATTTGATAGATATTACTTAAGTACAGGTTTGATGGTTTTCTCCCTGCAGATTATTCTCTGATGGACATTACCCACAGTGTGACCTTTGAAACCTTCCTTCCATCCTCTCCTTTGTTAGGAAGCAGCTCCTCATCATCGCAGCACCGAAGGTGGAGCTTCTCAGCTCGGTTATCCATTTTACCTCCCCATCAGAAGCCTGCAGAGGGGCTTCAGCTTTCCCACTTCCACACTCATCAGTCCATGCAGAGAGAAGCCACTCTCCCCCGAGCCCTCACCAGATGGTCAGCTGGTCTGCCGATGGAAGAAGGTAGACGCACATAACATCTGAGTTTCAGTTCAATAAGCCAGAGGTCCCCAAACCCAGTCTGTACAGCTCAAGGTCCTGTATTTAGTAGATGTTTCTTAGCTCTAACATACAGATTTAAATATATCATTAACATGTTAACTTGATAACAAGCTGAGGAGGTAATTAAATTGTTTGAGTCATGTGTGTTGGAACAGGGGGAAACAGTTGAGGACCAGGAATCATCACATTTTAAACTCATACAGAATTTGAAAAAGAGCTTCTTTTTTTTTTTTTGCATAATGCACCTTAAAGTTTATAGATGCACATGTTTATTTATTACTGTTTCATATCAATCATAAAAAAATTGTGCAGTCTATATTTTCACAACTGATCTGATTTCTGCTGGGAACTTTTTTTTTTTTTTTTTTTAACAAAGACTGCAGTTCATCCTTTGGCCGCTAAATGGTGCTGTAAGCAAACTACAAAACAACTGCCCGTCACTGGAAAAAGAAAGTGCACGTCGTTTAGTCAAAATTACAAGTCCGTATTGAATACAATTTTATGTCATTTATTAAGC